GTAAAGGTTTTATAAATATCTTAATAGAAATGAGATATGGATTTGATTGTGTGTTGCGTAGTACTGGTGGTCCAACCATAAATAAATTCACATGACTAAATAATGAGATATCCTATATTGGACAAATTTGTTTGAATAATTTATCAAGTATGTATAAGTAAAGATCAATATGATAGATTGTATTTGTCAAGAGAAACACAACATTCAGGATATTTTATTTTATTTTGGCAATTTATCAAGTACATTGAATGCAATTTATAAAAACAAATTAAGAATCAATCTACCATGCAAGTGTCGAACACTATATTAACAAGGATCAAATATAAAATGATCAGAATTTTCAAATATTTCAAAATCAGCTCTATTTGCTTAAAATTACAGCATATCAATTTTTATCATACAAGTAACCTATAAGGTTCTAACCCCGTTAGGAATATGAATCAATCTAATCAGCGCGCAATTTCAGAAATTGGTTTCAAATGAAACCTTGTAACAGTAAGGGTAATTAATCAAAAATGTGAAGTTTATTATATCTACATAAGTATATACTTGAATTGGGTAGATAATGGGAACTAATAAGATTGAGAAGCTAAGGTCGAGCTTTACTTTAGAATAACTTCAATAGCAGCTAATATATAACAGTCTTGGAATAACAAAAAAAAAATTATCGCTTTCCCAAATACTTAAAAGAATAATTATAATAACAAAAATATAACTTCCCAATCATAATAATAATAATAATAATAATAATAATAATAATAATTTCAGGGATACATGATACACCCTTTGCAAAGAACAAGAATATTCATAATTTAAAATAAAAAGTACCTCGTTATTTATACAACCCAGTATTTTTTTTCAGTTTTCTTAGAGAAGACAAGGTACAAATAATTTACACAAAGTCAATGCAGAATAACAAATAAATAGTTATAATTGCAAGTAACATGCAATTCTTATTCTTTTGAAACACAGAGGAAACAAAAGCATTTAGTTGAAGGTGTAGCGTGAACTGCTTAAATATCAGTTTTTTTTTTTTATACACTATAATAATGTCAAAAGCAAGAGGTAAGATTTTATTTTTTTTTATTCAACGAAGAAAGAGCAAAAGAAAAATGATTTCAATTGTATACTTGCACTCAAACCAAGTCATATGCAAAACTCATCACATCAAACTCAAGAAGTTACATTAATATGATATCTGTGAAGTGAATTATTTTTATTATTATTTTTAATGCTTTTAGAATTATCATATTATCTTTATCCCTAGGCAGATTTATTTACTTCCATGTACTGCTAACACTTCTTGTCTACGCAGAGGGAACATCTATATTCTATATGCTGAAGTTCATAAAAATATTGAATTGCTAGCACACAAAATATATCTCCTTGTCTACGATTCGAGATCGCCTTCTAAGTTCTAACTCCCAAGAGTTGGATGAATCTTGCACCCTTTGATACACCCGTTCCTTCGTCTCCTCTGGCTGCTCGTGGAACGACTTCACTAGCCGGTGGGGTTTTTTTTCATTGGTAGAAGTTGTGCTGATGACGTGTTGTACAATTAATAAGAACTAGAAGACAAGAGATAACAGAAATAGGAAAAAGTATTCTTGTTGTATTATATTATCACATTACAATGATGCCTTATTTATAAGTTTGGGAAACATGAAAGTTACAATAACTGAAAATATTCTCCAACACTGGTAATATCTTCAACAACCATAATATCTTCAACAGTTATAATAAATATTTCCAACAGTCATAACGGATATGGACAACCAACAAATTATTTACAACAAAATCTGTTTTTTTTTATCCAATTTTGAAATCCAAATTCAATTATCTTTATCTTATTTTACTTGACTAATAATCCATTACAAAAAAAAAAAAAAAAAAACACACAAAAATAAAAATTACCTAATCCTGTGTTGTAACAGAATAGACAAACAGCGATTTAAACGGACCCACCAAATCCCAAACGCCACCCCCCAAAAACACACATTGCATATCACAGAAACCCGTCCACATTGCACGCAGCACTAACATTTTCCTTCGTTTTCTCAGATTCTCAATCACGTTTCCCCCCGTATTTTCTTCCCATCCAAACAGCCCATGATTCTTCTTCAACCGTCAAATCCAAACTGCCACCCCCCACCAACCAATTCAACAACCGCTACAACTGCCGACATCTCCTCATAGTTCTAAGGCTTCATCGTCTTACGAACATGGACTCCACGAAGACTAGGCCCAAGAACAGAGGCAAAAGTTGCTTATTCCAGTGTTTCAAACCCGACGACGTTCCACCGCGTCGAAAAGCTAAAAACACCGACCCGCTTCTTGCCTATATTTCCGTGGCGGAGAAGCACGGCACGGTGTTGCCCACCATAGTGTCATCGGCTTTGACGGTGGCGAAGACGGTGGCAAAGGGTGGTGGAGAAGAGAGTAGAAGTCGCAAGAAAAAGATAGGCAAAGTTGGCCCTCTTCGACAGGCTCTGATGGCGGCTTTGAATGAGACATCATTGGTTAATCTTACTCTTCATTCTTTCCATTTTTTACAAATATATTTGCATGAATATCATGTGAATCATAATTTTTTTTATATTAATTATTCAATTAATCCGATTCGAGTCCGGTTAGCCGGACAAATAATAATTATGTAGATGGATTTTCACTTTTTTTTTCTTCAAAAATAATAGTTCCTTAATCTTGTTAAGTGAAAAGAAAAAAAAAGAACAATTTTTTTTTTTTTAGTGAATGACACCATTAACTTTGCAAAAGGGCTCTAATTGCATACACAATCAGTTTGTGTCTTTCTTTTGTATAAGTGAACACTTTCCTTGTCATATTCTTTTCAGATGGCGTCCAAATATCATACAATATAAACATTATACAAGTGGGTGCTGGATAAAAATCCAATCTGTATTATAATTGGGATGTGTTATTCTATCTACTATTTTTTCTACCTACCTTTGTTTATCACTCTTCAATAACATTTAATTTTCTCTCTTCTTGAGATTCTATCTAATAGTACGTGAAAATGATAGAGAAAAGTAGGCAAAAAAAAAATAATAGTTAGAATAACCTATCCCATCATGCAATGAATTATTATTTCAATTTCAACACATATTTTGAGTTTAGTCTTTCTCCTTTTTATTTGTTCTGTTTCATATTTACCTCCTTTGTGTTCTTCTTTTCTTCTACTCTTCCTTCTCTGTTTATTTTTATGATTATTCATTTGGATTTTAAGGTAATGTAGTTATAAAAAAACAAAATAAAAAAGTGTTTTCTTACTCCATTATCCTCACCTTTAATGTATGCATGTTTATGTTAATCGTTTTTGTCAATGTTATTTTTGGAAACATTTTGTTAACATTTTTTATTTTTGTTTATAGTGCTGATATTTATTAATTTGTGGATAACTAACAAATTTCTGATTATCTTCTTACAGGGCAAGAAGGTTAATAAGAGAAGGAAAGCAAACAAGGATAATATCATACAAGGAGAAGGTGATAAAATCTCAGACAAAGAACGTAAAAATACACAGGGAACCAATTCAAGCACTTCCTCTTCTCATTGTTCAGCTGCATTCACCCCATCCTCATCATCTTGTTCTACAAGTTCTAGCAGTTCAACAAGTACTCAGGCTTCAGGCTCATCCTCTGAACTATATCCACTGAGATCGTTGCTACTAAATGGAATTGGGGTGATGAAACAGCAACAAAATGTTGGAGATAATAGACAAGGATATTTTGGTTCAAACATGGCTGTGTGTTGTTTGTTTTTGACTAGTCTTTTGGTTTTGATTCTGTGGGGTAAGTTCTGTGCTATAGTCTGCACTTCAATTGGGCTCTTTGTGGTGCCTCCTCGTAGGAGAAGAATGACTTGCAATGAGGGGGCTATATGTGGAGACACTGAAGTTGATTCGGTTCAGTATAAGAAAAAGATCATCATGGAAGGGTTGCTTGAGAGGAGCGGTAGCTAACTAGCCATAGGCACGTGTAGTGCTAATATGCCAAAGTCATAGGGAAAAAGGGAGTTTTGACTTGTTATTTTTATTTTTTTCATTTTTGAATTTGAGGCTTTAATTTAAACTCTGATAGATTACGTTATTTTGCATCTGTCTATTTTCAATGTTCTAGAGATGAACTTGGAAGCATGTTGAGTTATTGTCAAACGATGCCAATTGTACATAAACATATATATATATGGAATATGATGTGAGATTCTATTTGTATATATATGTTGTGGGAATATATGACTAGAACTTTATATATATGTTTAACTAGTTGCATATACTTAACTTTATTTTGGAACAAGTATTGAGTTCATCATGAGAAAGAAAAGTAAGATGTTAAGAGTGAAAAATGGATAAATGTGGATTGCTTAATAGGAAGTTGAAATTAATGTTTGTTTTGGAATCCAAAACTTACAAAATAAACAGATAAAAGTTGTTCTACTTAGGGGGCGTTTGGTACAGGAGAAATATTTATTTACCCAGGAATCTTGATTTTCAAAAATATGATTTTTACATTCAGTTTACAATAATACCCAAAATTCAAATTTTAGAAAAATTCAGTTTCCTGGGAATCTTCCAAAATTCCGCGTACCAAACGCCCCCTAACATAGAAGAAAAAAGCGTGAACGGCAGGATTCGAACCTGCGCGGGCAGAGCCCACATGATTTCTAGTCATGCCCGATAACCACTCCGGCACGTCCACAAGATGGTTAATGTTTGTTATATTATTATTTATATTCATTAACAATTTACTACAATTGTCACCTTATCCCCCAAATTTGGCTTTCAAACTTCTCAACACATTTATCCAAAACTTTAAAGTGTGGGTTGCACTTGAACATGTCACTATTTCTACTCACTCCCACTGGCCAAGATACATCATGAACTTGTGGGCCATGGTAGGCCCAACCCACATAACATAGCCCAACTTCTCTCTCTATTTATGGATCATTTAATAACTTATTCTCCTTAATAGAAATAAACACCGTTCCTTCATTCATGCACCTTCCTACTTCTGAGTAAGAAAAAGTAAGAAACAAAGGAAACCTCTCTAGAAAACTCTTTATTCTCTCCGAACCTAACTAAGAATGCAGCACCACCCGAACCCAGCCACACTGGATTCCGACCCACAGCTCCCGCAAATTAGAATTCACCAACCAACCTCCCCTCGCCACCATTCATCTGCGGCGACGCCCACCCCCACCGCCGGCGCCCGCCGCAAAATCGGCGTGGCCGTTGATCTCTCCGACGAGAGCGCTTACGCGGTGCGCTGGGCCGTCCAGCACTACATCCGTCCCGGCGACGCCGTGATCCTCCTTCATGTTAGCCCCACGAACGTCCTCTTCGGCGCTGACTGGGGCTCCATCGACCTCTCCATCAACACCGACCCGAACTCTGAGGAGGAAGCCGTTACCAGCGTTAACGTTAACAACAACGACCACAACAGCAAGCGGAAGCTCGAGGACGATTTCGACGCGTTCACGGCGTCGAAGGCCGCTGATCTGGCGAAGCCGTTACGAGATGCTCAGATTCCGTACAAGATCCACATCGTGAAGGATCATGACATGAAGGAGCGGCTCTGCTTGGAGGTTGAGCGCCTTGGCCTCAGCGCCGTCATCATGGGGAGCCGTGGGTTCGGCGCCGTGCGCCGCGGCAGCGACGGTAAGCTCGGCAGCGTCAGTGATTACTGTGTCCACCACTGCGTCTGCCCTGTCGTCGTGGTCCGCTATCCCGACGACAAGGATGGTGCCGTTGGTGCCGGCGGCGATGCCATTGTGGCCGTCAAGGAGGGCGAAGAGGGAGAGGCCGTTATCAAGCCTGTGCCGGTTGCGCATCAACATAAGAAAGGTTAGGGTTTTGTGTTTTTTATTTTATTTTTTTATTTCGTTTTGGTGATTTAGGGGAAATTCTTGAATTTTATTGTTAGAACTAGAAGAATTGAATATGTAGTTTGATGTCATATGTGTAGAGTGTGATTTAAGTATGTTAGGATCAAGGGAAGTTCTTCTATCTTCAAATCTTTTTGAGTGGATTGTTTAAATCCATATTAGTAGTGAGAAATCACTGTTCTCCATGATTATGGAACAAACCTGGATGGTATGTTTAGTGAGATATGGATTTTGATGTTGCATGTCATCATTAATAAATCACTCTGATGGTATGAATACGTTATATTTCTAAAGCTTTTGATATGGTTTGGCATTTGATTGATGATATGGAATTGCAAATGCATTCAAATCATTCTCAAATTCGTTGGACTTGCGTTTTCCTAAAGCTTGGCTGACGTCAGGGAGGCATCTTATAAGACAACTGTACTATCATAGTAAAAGTCTTTTATGGCTGACCCTTGTGAGCCATGTCTATAAATGGTGTCCCTGCTTGCTGTGGTCCCATTTGGGCATCTCTTTCCAGTTTGTTGCAAATACCGAGCAGTTATATTAAGTAACCAAACTTCTTAGGTTCCATTCAGTGGTCATGTTTGATCACCTAGTTGTTGACTTGTTGCAATATTGTGTTTTTCTGGTTTAGAGTAGATGTAAGCTAGAGTGGATTTATAATGTATTTAAGATTGTTAAAATAATCTGGATTTTTCTCATTTTCTGAGGAAAGACCATGAAAACCATGGTGATTATCGTTAGTCAAGTGTGGTTTCCCATTTTTTAGAACTCAGATATAATTCTATCTAAATACCAAATTTGATGAACTTTGACCGAGAATGTTAAATCCATGGCTAAATGTTCTCGTGTAGTTTTATTTGCATTTGTTGGTTTTGTAATGCATATGCGATAAGTCAAATTTAGATGATGGATGAAAACTGGATAATATTCTGTTCATATGAATTTTTAAATGCATTGCTTGGATTGAATGTTGATACATTGAATTAGTTTCTTCTTTCCAAAATTCATTTTGTCTGTAATTAAGGTTTATTGAATTGATTTTATGAATATTTAAATGCATTGCTTGTAGTGATTGTTGAGTCATTGAATTAGTTTCTTCTCTCAAAATATCATTTTATCTGTAAATATGCTTTATTGATTTTTAATTTTTTTTTATATTTGGAGCCTTCTAACATATCAATGTGCTTTATTTATTTGACTTATCAATGTAATTTCGAGTTATATCTGCACCTGATCTCAAGACATTGGCCTTGTTGATATTTGGTTTTCTTCTTCATTGATACGCTGGTTATGAAATTGAAATTTGACTTCTTAATTGTTGGTTGGTTTGGGACAGAGGATTAGCTGGAGCCAAATAATTACTTCACACCTGTCTCTGCTGGTATGCTCTTATACCATTTTTTGTCCTGTTATATGCTTTTTGTTAAAAAAATATGTTGTATAGGTTTCATTGGATGTGGTCTCAACCTTTATACTGTGCTCTTTGTCCTTACTATGAGGTATAACTATATTAAGTACAACAATTATGGATGCAGTTTCTTGAATAAGCTGTCCTATAAATATCTTCATAAATCTCATGCATCTTTTTTTTTTTTTTTTTCACTGGCTTACAGAATGTATCTGATCCAAAAGGGATTAGTGGAAATGGTTTTAGAGTGCTCTCTTTCTCTTCCTGTCAGGTTGTACTTAGGGCATTTCCTGCATAATGAAGTCTGGAAAGATTGTGGATGATTTTGTATGGCTTGATATGATCTGCGTTCCTTTATGGGCTGTTGGAAGATTGTTTTTGGTTCTGAAGTGGTACATACGCTTTCACGCAGATGTACATGTTTGCCTGTGACTGTTTTTGGCTTATTGTTCCCATTCACTGTGGGAGGTTGAATTATCATGATGAGCACTTCTTTAGCTTGATAAATCTAATAGAGCACTTATTTAGCTAGATAATTTTATAGAGCTATGTTGATAGAACTAATACTATTTTGGGCAAGTCAACATGTTTTCCCTTTGTTTATAGATACATGAAATGAGGTAAAATATTGTTGATAAAGATAATTCAGGGAATGGTGGTAGACTGTAGGCAATCCTTGACATAGTAAATGATTTTTTTCTTTTTTTTAGGGGGGGAATATAATATTTCTATTTGTAAATAAAATTTCTATGGTAGCTTAATGGGCATAAAAGCTATCTAAGCGTGGTTGATTTGAAATTTACTGATTGTTTCTGAATACAACTTTTTGTTATATAATTCTGTGAAATTTGAATATTATTATTTGAGATCCACAGACTTTTGTAATGTTTTGCTTTGATTTACCCACTTCAACTTCAGATTATTTTTGTTTGCTAATTACTCACTGAAGTTTTAATTTTGGTAATTTACCTACTTGATTTTTAATTAGTGATTTATTTATTTTTTTCATTATATTGAAATTTTTTTATTGTATTCTTCTATGTCCAACTAAATAGAATCTTATTTATTGAGTAAAAACAGTTGGAAAAAAAATTAAAAACCATTATTGTTTTCTATTGAATATCATGAATGCCAAAATAACTGTTAAATAAGTATGTCTAATACATATTTAAAGACCTAGCAGTAAAGCATTAAATCCGGTAGTTATTATTTAATACATTGCCAGTTAGAGAAGCTAGAGAATATTTATTACTGGATGATCTCGCAGATGCTATTGAGATAAATAGCAGTGTAACACCTTTGTTGTATGAACAACATAATAAATCGGTTGGATATGAGTGAATTTATATAATTATATATGTACACTTTTAAGTTTTATTATATTTTAGAGAAACAATAGTTGGGGAATATTATTCGTAGAATTTTCCTTTATGCATTCACAAATCAAACGCGAGGTCCATTTTATTTTTATTTTTTCTTCTCTATTTTCTCTACTTTGGGAGTCTATGAGAGAGAAAAAAAATTCACCCGTGCAATTTAGTGTGATGTTTCATACAATAAAGTGGTTACGAGCAGCAGAGTAATCCAATTGAATTAGGCATACGAGCATCCGTGTAATCTTGAGTTACGTCAGAAAAAAAGGCAAGCACAAAATTCTGACAATAACACAGATCGTTGTGGAATATATTCAGAAAATGCGCATTCAATATTTCCCTAACTTTACCTGAAAGCTCATGATCGCAAAGTAACTTTTTCTACCAATATGTTTAAATTTTAGGAATATTGTTTAAGTACTTATAAATATTTGGGTAATCTTTTTCCCCTTTGAGTTAGCAACAGGTTGCGTTTTTAGTCAGTTTTTAATTCTAGGATGTTAAAGTCTATTATATTTATGGTGTTTAGTCCCGAAACTTCACGTTTTAAATATCCAATCTTTTTAAATAGGAATTGACATCGTTAAACCCTTCACTTAATGAACTTTAATACAATAATTCACAATACGTGCGAGTATTGTGCCATGCATATTCAATATGATATTTTAACATATGAAGCATGTTGTTTAATAGTATAATTTATTCATTTATTAAAATAAATTAATAATATAATAAAATAAGATGATACTTAGTATATCAAGCCATCATTGATTGTGGGACGACCTTTACCAGGTGTGAAAGGCTATAGGGGAAAACTTTCAAGTTTTTTTTTTTTTTCGGAGAGAGGGTGAGAATGATAATAGTATTATATGAAGGTGAGTAGTGTAAGAACATGCACCGTTAATTAAGTAATTATGTGAAATTAAGAAATAATTTTATAATTGATCCTAATAATTATTATGAGACTTAAATAATTGCAGTAAGTGAGTAATAATGCTGAAAGTCGCTTTTCTGACGAAAAGTGCAAATACCGGTTCTTCTACTCGGTATAAACGCGCACCGAAAAAGTATCCCGGAAAATTATAAAAAGTGCATGATAATTCCTAGAATAATATATAGGACTTGTAAAACAAGTTGCAAGTTAAAATAATGAGAAATGGTGCCAGAACTGATACTGGCAATGGAGAAGCGCGTACCGGAAAGGTGCTGCGAAAAATAAAATAAAAATATGAAAAATCTTATAAAAATGAGTAGGTTCAGATTCCAAAGTTTGGGATTAAAATACTATGCGTAGCTATTAATGCTAATACTGCGTGTTTAATTCTTAAGTGGCCTATATATATAACTTATGCACAGAACCCTAGGCCATGCTACGTGAGTTTGTTTGTATCAGCTGCTGCCATCTCCACTCCTTAGTCTCCCTTGCTTGAAATTGTGCCAAGTCTTCACTTTTTCTCTCATTTTCACCACTTAAACACTTGGTTGGATGTGGGTTTGCATGGTGAGGGAGAGGAGTGC